GTGGACGAAGGCAAGAACCTCAGGACAGTTCCTGAATGCTTGCGCATTGCAGGTGAGCTCTTGACCAAGACCACTCACGAAGAAATCGATGCATGGAAGAGTGTGTGGGATGATGTCATTTCGTGCCTTGTGCAGGTGACTGTTCTCATGGAGCAGGCTATCAAGGACATTGAGACGGCAAAGCGAGCAAGGGATAAGAAACGCCAGCGTGACGAGCAGGCGGAGGCCAAGAGGATCGAGCGGGAGAATCAGAAGAAGCTGAAAGCAGATCAGAAAGCTGCTTTGAAGGCAGGCGCGGTCAGGCTAAGTGCCCAGCCTCAAGCGCCATTGCCAGTCCCATCCTGCGCGCACAAGTTGCTGGAGACCCCGATCACTTTGCTGAAGGAGGTGAACAAGTGCGATGAGGCCGACTTCTGCGCGCAGACAGACAGTGTGCAGAGTGCATTCATGAAGAATCCGCTCCTGCTTGAGAAGTGCGAGAAGGCTCTGGAGAAGTACGCTGCGATCGCGAGAGTCAAGGCGCAAGTTGCCACATTCAAGTGTCAGTTCCCTGCCACCACGCAGAGCAAGACCACAGGGCGTTGCCAGCTGCCTCTTTCTGTGCCTGAGCATGTGTCAGGACTGGCTGAGATTTTCAAGGCGCTTGATCCGGCGAAGACTTCGTGGCCAACCACTGCTCCGTCTGGGACCGACCTTTCGCATTTCCTTGCTCCCTACATCTACGGCTTCTCCAGCACCATGCAGTACGCAGGAGGTGAGGATAAGTGGGCCGGTCAGCTCCGCTTCCAGCTTGAAGGTTCCCGTGAGGTTATTCTCGCCCCTTTTGGCGATGTGCGGGAAGCGTTGCAGAAGCTGGGCAAGCCTCATGATTCCTTGAGTGTGCTCATCAAGAACTTTGCTAACCTCACCCCGCAGGAGGTGGAGAAGTCAGCGGAGAAGTTTCGCTATGTCGTGCACAACGAGGGCTGCTGTCTTTATGTGCCAGCAGGGTGGATTCTTGTTGAGCGTGTTCGAGAGAACACCCCGGTGCTTGGGCTGAAGTTGGCTTCCGGGCACAAGCTGCTCACTGCTGACATGAAGCAGATCATGGACCTGAAAGTGAAGAATGATCCAGGGGCCGCTGATGGCGCCATGACAAAGTCAATGAAGGCTTACATCCATTTCCTGGAGAACCAGTGATTTTGTGGCTTGTGGCCTTGACCCATCTTTCGAATCTAGCGTGAGCGCAGTGCAGTGTAAGGGTCTGCCAGCTAGATTCCATTTTTGTTGCGCGTGCAAAGCATGGCGGCGGCTGCTGGGGTACATGCCAGACTCAGACTCTTGTCCATGTTGATGAAAGAATTAATTGCTGTGCAGCTGCTGCGTATCTGCTTCTCTGAATGTTCAGTTTGGGTGAGCTGCTGAATGTTTGTGTGCCAGGTTCCCATGTCCTTGCCCTGTGCCAGCCACTCGGACACGTCCAGGATGGAGGGTTTTACGTTTACGGTGTAGGGTTTATAGGGGTTTAGAATCTAGGGTTTGGGGTTTAGGATTTAGGTTAATCAGAAGCTTGGGATGTAGGGTTTAGAATCTAGGGTTCAGGATTGAGGGTTCAGGATTTAGGAGCAAGCGCATGTCGCGCATGTTGGCCATGGCGTAAGTCATCTGCAATATCTTTGTGCTGTGGGCTAGAATTTGAACCCTGCTGCAACCTCTAAACTCTTAACTCTTAACCTGATGCCAAAACTGGAGAAGTGGTAGTTCCTAGGTTGAGAAGCTTGCCCTCCGCGTGGCGCCCAGTGCAAAATCGGTCTCT